AAGTAGGTAGGTCCCTGGGCTTGTAGGAAAAACTCAACCATTTATTCTTCACCAATCGGGGTGTTGACTCGAGCAGCTTGCTCCCTCCATATGAGCCCAAACTCCCTAAAGCTTTCCTCCGGCTTCTTTTCCATTTTAGATAGCGAGGAGCGGTCTGGGGTAACGCCTGATTTGTAATGAAAGTATCAAACAAAATATTGAGCCATGTCACCCAATGTAGGCCACTTACCAACATCTTGAAGAGTATGCCAGTCCAAAGCTGCCCCAGTCAGGCTCTTACTGAAATATGCCATCAACAGGTCATCTTTCTCTCCAACGCTTCTCATTTCACTGTAATAGACCCTCATGTGGGCTACCGGATCTCCACACCCATCATACAAGTTAAATCTTGGCACTTTGAACCCCGCGGGCAGGCGAACGTCAGGGGACACAGACAGTTCTTTGTAAGCCATGCTACCTTGGTCTCCCCTTCCTTTTGTTCTTCAAGGATTATTCTATGCCTTTCAGCCTCCTGGGTATCCCATCTCTCCCTTTTCTTCCTGTGAACTCTTCATTTACAACATGAGGCCCATCCCACAGACCCCGCTTGTATGAGTTGGGAGCCTTGTGGGTATCCTCTGAGGGGGTAATATTGGGCATCATGAGCTTTGAGTGGGTATTCATTGTCGGGGATAGTGGATGTGACAGGAGGGCACTTTTGGGAAAAGATAGTTGGAGGACGAGTGATGGAGCTACTAGGGTAGTTGGGAAAGTTGTGATAAGCAGGTGGATCTGGAGAGTATGGAGGATCATCTGGCATTGCATTCGGATTTTGGGTAAGGGCAGCATCTGGGAAGCTAGGTGGTGGCGGGGGTGGTGCCTTCCCAGTCATCCAAGCCTGATACATGTCCGCCATGTGTTGTCTTAACATATTTACCTCTTCAACCAACCTATTGTCCTGTTCAACTAACTGCTTTCGAGCACCGGTATCAACCAACTCAGTTCTGTTGTTGTCTGCCATTGCCTTTTGACTTTATGTTGTAGAGAAGAGTTACCCCTTTAAAACCACAAACCAACCATCCTTCTGCTATGAATATAACAAAAATGAAGCCATCACGTTAGCATTAGGGCATTTAACATAAGATAATCTCACATTATGTGCAATGCACCTAGCCACATTTATCGGTTCTAAAATGACTTCGAGGGTACAAAGGTCAGTTGGCATTATTCCAATTTGTTCATTTCAACCTCTCTTTTCTTTGCTTTTCTAGCACTTGCTGGCTTGCCCATTTTCCTTCATTTCTCTCTTTTTTTAATCATCACTCTTTCTTTCTCTCATATCTCACATCCCACAATTTCACCTCTCTTTTTTTCTTTCTTTTTTCTTTTTTTCTTTTAATAATAAAAAAATGATTCGATCGAACCCTATGTAGGTTGCCTACGTATCATGACGCCGCATGAATCAGATCTTTGCGTAGTTCTGGAAGATCGGGATTAAAGTAAACAAACTGACATTTTTTATACCTTAATGACTACTCTGATGAGAAAAAGAATTAAAAGAATTTGAACTTTCTAAACTGAATGTTCTATAACCTATTCCAAACTCAAACTTAACGAACACATATTTTTTCTCTCTTTTGGAAACAAATGCTCTATGGGAATTATTAAGGGAAAATCGTAGAAGAGAAAAATATATTTTTTTTATTCTTTTTTTTAGGAAGAAAATCTAATGAATAAACCACAGAAAAATATTTTGAATTTTCATTCGATATCTTGACGCAAGATTTCGAAACAAGCAAAAAAAATATTTTTGATTTCAATTTTGATTGCCTAAAAGAGAAACTCCGAAAATAAATAAAAGGTAAAGTATGTTGTCTTTTTTTCTCTTCTATGTACAATATCCTAATAATTTTTTTTTTTCATTTTTCACTAATTTCCCAAAGAAACTTCTCAAAAGAAATTTTTTTAGATTTTGAATTAACACCTTAAATAAAGCTTTTAAAGAAGTACTAAAAGAAAATTCTCTTTTTGTTTTGGAATTTTGGGCCTAATATACTTAAAGGAAACATAAAAACAATTCATTTTAAGTCCTAGATATTGATTGCCTAAAGGAAAAACAACCTCAAAAATTTTTCTTTTTCCTATTTCTAGAATTAGTAATCTAAAGAAAACTTATAACGGAAATATAAAATGCAATATCTCTTTTTTCTGGATTTTTGAGTTACAACACATATTTTTCAAATATAAAGAAGAAAATACAATAACAAAAGACTTGACATTATTGTACAAAACTAGAAAGTAAAAGACAGACATAAAATGAAGAACGAACTCAAAACATAAAAATAAAACAAATCTCCTTAAGCAACTCCTGATTGAGCGATCCTGACTGGATGGTCACGGGGTGTCTGTCATGCTCAAACTCCGGTAAATAAATCCACACCTGTATGAGAAAACTTTAAACCAACACTATGTGAGACAATAACACTCCCTACTGGACACATGCAAGACATGATTGAGGCTATTTTTGCAAAATGGCTTATTTGGCCAAAAGGTGGCTAGAAGTGCAAAATTTGGCTAAGACCCCGCAAAGCCAAGAACCTAAGATTTACTAGGAAGACCGGACCCTATGTGGGTTGCCTACGTATCCCGCCCCGAGAGACGAGAATCAGGTTCGCGTAGTTCGGGCTGATAGGATACGGGCGAGAAGTAAAAATAACAACTAATTTAGAGAAAATATGTTTTTTTTTTCTTTCTCTTTTTTTTTTTGAAAAAATGATGAAACATGTAAACTCTTTTTTTTTAATTTTCTTTTTCCCTTTTTTTGATTTTTGATTTTTGAAAAATGATGAAAATTATAAAAATCTTTTGAATTTTCCAAGCTCTTTTTTTTTTCTTTTCTCTTAATAAAATGTAACAGAAAACATAATTAGGCCTCCACTCGCTTTATCTTCACACTTCACCCTCTCTTTTTTTCCTTTTTTCTTTTTAATTTTTTTTCATTTGCCCTCAACTATCATTAGTCCGCCAAATGACCCTTTTACCCTCGAAGAAATGCAACATGTAGCACATAGGATGCATCAAGATGGTATGTTATTTTGGGTACACCTGTCCTAGATGGACCTTACCCCTGTGTTGAGTCTCCAAAGTCAAAATGCACATGATGCAAACAAGCGTTCCTACTAGGGATCCAACATGAGGTATTGTTATACTAAGTTTAAAAACCTGGGTTTGTTTGTTCTAGACTTGGCTTACCCGAGCGGACAACTCGAGCCGGGGGGGGGGGGCTGCGTACCGGGAATACAGAAGCTTCACCGGCTTTGCAACTTGTCCGAACCTCGTTCTAAAATTGGGATATGACTCTAACAGAAAAGAAGTCACACGAAGTGCACACTTCCCAGATGATTTAGAAGACTCAGAGAGAGGAGGGTTTTGTAACAATTTATATACAGTCCAACCAAATATCAAAGCGATAAAAGCTGCATTTAACACATTAGGCCCAACCATGTAAATAAAACCAGATAATAAATAAAGCCAAATATAACAATTATTCTAAGCTCGAATTCTTGAACTATGAACCAGAGATTCTGGGTTCGATCCCCAGCAGAGTCGCCAGAGCTGTCACACATCCCTTTTACCTACACCCGCAAAGGGCATAAGGGAGTTTTTCCAATTAAAGGACAATCGAAACGGAATTTATTATTAAAGATTTAGAGTCGCCACTTGGGAGATTTATGATGTCCCAAGTCACCGGTTGAATCCCGAATCGAGGAAAAGATTGACTCTGTATTACAGTCCGCGAACCAAAAATCTGAGTAAGGAATTTTGTTAACCCGGGAGAAGATGTTAGGCATTCCCGAGTTCCGTGGTTCTAGCACGGTTGCTCAACTGTTATATTTGGTTTAAATTATCTGATTTTAACAATTATGAACCTATGTACAAATTTTAACCTTAACCGCTTTTATTCATTTTTAAAGATAATTGCAACGTCATTAAAACAAGTCTTGAACCACGTCACATAAATGCACCTGTGGTTTTTGGACATACTTTAACATCGTTGGGATTTGGATTTGGGTCACATAAATGCGCACCCGAGTTTAGGGAGGTAATGTTATTAAAATACGCGCCTAAAGAGACTAACGCGTTATTATTTTGGGGAAGGCCGTGAAATTCGCTAAACGGCCCGTCCCGAAATCTAAGTATTTTAATATATACAATTATCGAGGGCCCCGCAATTTATGTGTTTTGTTTAGCGAGGCTCATCCCGTTTTATTATTTTAAAGTGCAAACCTAGAGCAATCTATAGTTTTCTACTTAATTTGTCTCTAAAATAAAAGAAAGGCCCTAATTAATTTGTTACTGGACTGATGCAAACTAAGTAATATTTTTGCACCAACATCCGACCATTGGGCTCCGATGTGAGCCCAGCAGAGGGAATTTAAAACCAGATATACACCATAAAATCGGCCAAAACAGACCTTGGCCCAGGCCTAAATGAGAAAGGGGCCAAAACTGGCCTGGGCCGTGCATCAATTATCCTGAGGCCCAAACGTTTAGGGACTAGCCTGTTAAGCCCTGTCTTTTACACTAAATGGAATTTCAATTTAATTAAGAACACAAATCTGATGAATCTACTACTAAAATTAACTAGCCAGTAAAATAAATTCAATGCAACATTAAACATGAGTTGGAAAGCAACTGATTTCAGATTTCATGACCCACGTAAACTGCCTATGATCACAATTTCAAACATGGTGCATTCAAATTTCAAATTCCCTACTATGACTCATTTTTATTAAAATGCTGACTCATGAACTTTGATTAAACACTAACGTGACCACATATGAGAATTGAAACTCGAGAATTAAGGATGCTGGACGAAAATGGATTGCCTAAATTAACCTTACGAATTACATATCTCATATCTACTTTTAACTTTCTGATTTCGAACCCACACACAACCACTCAAACTCAGAATTATAGATTAACTCACATCATCACTACTAAATATAAAGCTCCCATGATCAGAAGAAGTATCACACTACTTTAACAGTCTACAGCCTAATTAATCACAGCTTGAAAATACCATTTATACAGATCTAGGAAAACCGGAAATTAACTAAACTAATAGAAACTATTCTGTTAGTCCAGCATGGAATTATTACAACGAATACTCAACTAAACTCATATGCATTTCTAAATATCTAACACACACTTAACGGTTCAAATGCACAAACTTATAATTAACAGTCCATCAGTACGGTTATTACAGTATAATGAAAGCAGTAAATCAACAATAGGCCTCCACTTCAACAACAATAGGCCTCCACTTCATTCATTTTCAACTGGATATTTACATACATCGAGTTTCAGGACATGTACCTGGTATGTAGAACAGAAAAATGGGGTAAGCAATCAGCAACAACAAACAGCAAAATACAACAGCAGAAAGCCCAACACAGTAGCTTCAACACCTCAATCCAGAAATCCCAGCAACACGGAGAAAACCAGTAAAAATGGAGAAGTAAAATAGTTCGAAAATCTCTCTTTGTTTTCTCTTTCTAGATTTGAACTCTCTCTGGTGTTTTTCCGCTCTCAATATTTCAGAAAATTTGGTTCTATCTTTTTTACTCTCTCCAAAATGAATTCTGCCCCTGTATATCCAGTGTATCCAGAGTGTATATCGAGTGTATACCGCTCTCTCCGCCTCCTTCTTTTTTCTTCTCTAATCTGATTTTCAGCTCCCTTAAATGAGCATTCAATTAGTGCATTCTTCACTACCAATTCAACTTTTCATTTCTTTAATCATCCACTTAATTGTCCACTCAATTAGTGCTTTTAGTTAATTTGATAATGCAAATACTACCCTACCACTATTAGGAGCTTCTCAATTAGTAAATTGGCCCAACCAGATTTTCCTTTTCTTATTCTCAATGGGTTTGGCTGAGTTTTGGTTTTGGGCCTGGCTAAATTGGCCCAACTAGATTTTCCTCTTCTTATTCTCTTTTCCTTTTCAATTTTCTTTTCCTTTTTCTTTTCAACAATTAAAACTAAAATCCTAATTAATTATAAAACACCAAATTAACTTAAAAATACTAATTAATACTAACTAATAATTATCACAAATAATTAAATGCCAAATTAAAAGAAAATCACACAATTTGACTAAAATTACAAAAATATGTTATATTTTTTTTTGAATTTTCATTTTTGTAAAACATCTAATTATTAATTAATTCCAAAAAATGTAAAAATTAAATCTCAAATGAAAATGCTATATTTTTTTTATTTTTAATGCATTAACAAAATTAAACATGTACATAAATATATGCGACCAATCAGGGAAATCACACAATAATTCCTAAAAATAACACATAATTAAAGAAAAGATCTAATTTTGGGAATTCTTTTGGAGTAATTCGTATGAGGCAAAAATCGTGTGCTCACACTCATGACTTGTGACACCCCGATTTGGGCTGTGTCGGGATGGTTTCTAATGTTGTTATCATAAATCCCGCAAATTATGGATTTTATATCATGTTTTATTATTGTTTATGATAATTAACTGCTCAAAGAGGTGTTCCGTTTTGGTCTGGCTGGCCTTGTCTTCACGAGAGACGCCATCACGAACGAGTTCGAGAATTGGGTCGTGACAAAGTTTTTTTTATTATATGTTATAAATCTACTAATAATGATCATAATTATTATTTTTGTATTATTTTTGATGAGCAATTAAATTAAATTCTTCTTCCTATTTGTATTCTTATCCTTTTATATATCTACACTAAAGTTAGAGGGAAAGAATGTCATCTATTTATCAATTTTATTAATGTTATTAGGAAATGACATAAGCTTGCACCGTTGAATTGAAATAGACTCTTCCAAAAGAAGGTCCGATTGGATGGAAATTTTAATATTGAACTTTTATTCAATTTGTTCCGCAAGTAGAAGTAGTGATCTTAGCAGTTAGCGCAATGGTAAAAATAGTGGTGTAGAGGATTTTCGCCAAAGGTCTTGAAAGAATTAGCCCAAAGGAAGAAAAAGAAGAAGATCCAAAAAAGTTGCTACTATTAAACTCAATAGAATAAGAAGAATAATACCCAAATTGGATAAATAAAGGGAAAATATGCAAAATAAAACTTACCTTACTACTGAATATATATTCCCTTCGTCGATCACATTAGAAGAATTCTCTCACAGATCCTCCTTGTGAAAAATGCTGCAAAAATACAAAACAAACAAAACCTACTTAGAAGTAAATTAATAAAAATTAAAATGCAGAACCTACAATTTTTCGAATAAAAAAGGAGCACATTTTTTGGATGAAATTATGAACCGATTATTTTGAATCCATAACCATGGTTTAACAATATTGTCGCCGACGAACTTTTAGCAATTCAAAATTTTACTTCAAAATTGAACTTCCTAGTGCACGAATATAGAATCACTATGGATACCTTGAATTGAAGATGTGAAATTGCAAAAATTTTAAGCCCACGCATTGAACAAAGTTCGTAAGTAAAAAAATAGGAGGAGAATCATTTATGAAGGAGTGAGTGGGGATGAATAGTCCATAATGTGGGTATTATTTCAGGTTTTTTTTTTTAACCTTTACGGTTTCTATTTTCTTATTAGTGCGGAGTAATGTTGTCTTTGAAGTTAACTGTTGCTTGCCTTTAAAGTTTAAAAACTTTACGTGAGGAGGGGGAATGGAGGAAGTGGGAGTAGTTGGTGATTTTTATTGATGGTTTCTATTGTTTGAAAATTTAAAAATTCTAAAAAATCTTAACATTTTTTTAAATAAATTTGAAACTCCAACAGAATTGGAGAATTGTCCAAAAAAAGTACATGTGTCAATTTAATGTTATGGCACTTGCCATTATAATATTTCTTTGCCTCTTCTATTATATATAAACTAGTACTAGTATTAGGACGCGCGATGCGCGGACACAAACCATGTCAAAACTGACTTGGGTTATTCGAATTATATGGAATAAGTTTAAAATATAAACCTTTCAGATAAAAATTATATATAATCATGAGATATCAATTTAGAAGAAGGACATGAAACTATTTTTCAAATGTCATAATCGATAATCTATTTTTTTTTATTTTTTATATCTGTAACAACCTGACCCCTTGATTTTAGTACTTACATTTTTGCTATCAATATTAAAGAATACTAAACATGTTTTATTGTGATATGTGTTGTTTGAGCACATTCGATCATATTATTTTAACAAAATTCTTACTACCACTTTGTTTATCATCTAATATATAGTATTATCATGTTTTCATGTGACTCTTTATTAACTCATTACTTTATTTAATATTATTATTCGTTATTATCCTTTAATATAATATAGATAGATATCGTAATTATTTTAATCTTAAAATAAATATTTATTTTATTTAAAAATATTGCTCGGAATTCATAAATTATTTAAATTATCAATACTCTTTTTGAATATTGTATATTTACTTTATTTTATTTATAAACTATTTTTGTATATATATCCTCTCTTTAGCTCTAATTTATTAATTATTTAAAAAAATTAATTTTTATTTTATCTATTAGACTTGAATCATGTGGCCTTATCCACAACATGACCTTTCTTATCATAATAAACAGAAACACTTTCTCGTCTCAAATTTAAATAACTTAAATCCTTCTTTTCTTTTTCTTCTTTATGACAATTTTTTTGTTATTTTAATCTTTTCTCTATTTGTTCTTTATTTTGCATTATAATTAAGGGAAACTCCGTAACAAAATGCAAAAAAAGATATATATGATTCTGAAATTACACTTTATCTGAATTCAAGCTATGTTCTCTGTTGATCCACCATGACTTCTTTGTTAACATCAAGTTCATTAGACAATAAAAAGGCAAAAGAATTACAATGAAAACACGATAGGGCAATCTAGGTAGAATTCTAATATCTTCTCCTCTCTTAGTTAGTTACTATTTAATTTAAACCAACTGACTCATCATAACTTATATATAGCACTTCGGCGACGAATACTCTATCTACCTATTTAGGAAAATTTTCTGACGCTTCTAACAATAGACATTTGTGTTGCATCAAATTTTACCCAAGTTGTTATAGTGTAAAAAATTAACAAAACTGAAAAACTGTAATCAAATGACAACATATATTATTGAGTGTATCACAATTAACCACATGGCATCACATTGATAATAACAAAAGATCACCCGTAATCCAGTGACAATACCGACTTACCATTGAGGAGTCATTTATTTTGGTGTTATCATTTCAAATACAGTAAAAATGATCTTCTTGGTGTACGAATGATATTATTTCTTGCCATGTAGAAATTCTTTTTCCTTCCAATTAATCTTTATTAATTGCAAGTACAAAGCGTTTGCAAGTTTAAACAACATAAAACAGACTGTTTGGGCTTGACTTTTCAGATTAGAGAAGGTAGAACTAAAGAAATAGTGCATGGTTATGTACAAAAAGATTAAAGTTATTTTATAATCTTAAAAAGGAATCCATTATCCCTCACGTATAGGGGAGGGTGGGGGAGAAAGTTTGATTTCTTATTAGTCCGTGCCTCTGATTTAGGAGAAATCTATATATTACTAAAAGGAAAGGAAAAAGCGCTTTCGTTAATTCAAGTGGCAGCTTAAAAAAAAGCCACATGACATAATTAGTTACTAAATTTATTATTTAGTTAATAATTAATTATTGGTTACTAAGCTATGTTCTGGTATATTAAATAATTCCATCAAGAGATGATGATAATGTGGCAGCTATTAGTATTGCAGAAATTAATAAATTGATTTCTCAAAACAATTA